AAGCCACCTCGGAAGCTGTTGCGCACTCCAAACGCAGTAGAGTTGGTTTCGCTTACGTTTCACGGTCAGGGTATCGTCACTACACCGTCACTGCAAAGCAGCTCCCATATGGACCACTTTTTTGATGGAGCCGACTGGCTGCTGGATAACCAAGACAAGAACGGCGGTTGGCCCGCAAAAGTGCGACGTGTGATAGCGAACGGTGCGTTGGTGCTGGAACCAGGGTGGTACTCAGCCATGGCGCAGGGTCACGCGATGTCTGTCCTCTGTCGCGCTTATAATGTATCAGGGGACGAAAAGTACCTTAAAGCTGCCTTGAAAGCTACCGACCTTTTCCTAGTGGACGCCTCCAAGCAGGGCCTTGTAAACTATCTGTTCGGGCGCATCCCTTGGTACGAGGAGTACCCCACGGTGCCGGGAACATTCGTTTTGAATGGATTCTTATATTCTCTGGTAGGACTTTACGATATGAGTCACTGCGACTGGACAGGGCGCTCGAGAAAGTTGTTCGAACGCGGCCTGCGCAGCCTCAAAGACGTTTTGCCGCTGTATGACATCGGCTACGGTTCAAGCTATGACCTGAGACACGTTTCATTGAAGCTGGTACCGCCAAACATCGCCCGATGGGACTACCATTCTGTACACATCTACCTGTTATTTTGGCTTCACGTGATTGACAGCAGCAACCTCTTCAACGTGACTGCTGAACGATGGATTCGATACACGCTAGGTGAACGGGCCAAGCACAATTGAGTTTTATTGCTGCTAAAAATGTGTAGTTGCATACTTTAAAAAGTCGAATCATTGATTCGCTTGATAAATGTTCATTCAGGAAGCATTGTCGGATGTGAAAAAAATCATTCTTTGTATGTGAGGAAGTTGACGTTTCAGACTTTCGTTTTTTTTGCAGATGTTCCCATGGACGGTTCGAGCCTAAATAACAGTCCTATTCTTCATTTTCAATACTACACCGTAGAATTACGCCAGCAAGGAGCGACTGGCTGAAAAAATTTTGAGGTTGCTAAAATGTATAGGCATTGTAGTTTGTGGAACTTCCTTTTCTAGCCATCATTCGACTTCAATTAATAAAGTGAAATTTTAGTTCGAAAATTCCCCATATTTGAGGAAACCTCTGATTTAGGGTGAATGGTCTCTGTTATCCTATGCTCTGGCATACAATCCAATATTTTTGTAGTTGAGTGCCCTTGGCGAGGTAAACGGTCCCATTAATCACAGTCTTTTTATGGACCCTTGCGTCAGGGGCGATGGCGGTGTCAAGTAGACTCAGAGTCATGGGCCTGCTCAAGCCAGCCGTCCAATTCATGTACTCTATGGCCTTCTTTTGGACTATTGCCAGAAACGGGACCCTAACTCCATTGCTAGTGTCTGCAAGGAAAGTGTAGGCAGAAGTGATGCAGTTTGTCTGACAAAAGTTTTGCGACCGCTGAGTTTAAAATGAACTCATGTGATTTTATATGCAAGAAAACGTCTCTGACATTCTTTTGGAAGGCCTAAAGGTCTGTAACGTAGTTGTCCAACGGTAATACTGGCAGAGCCATATTTTTACTACGACAGGACGTTCGATTACTATAAGGGCAACGTCGCGTTCGTAGTCGAGGCTGAAAGTTCCAGAGGAAGGAGTTTTTCCGGTCAGCGGCATCCTGCGAGTTGCCGAGGTAGCGGAATTGCTCCTTCATATTAGCTCTAGCCATTCACATGAATATTTATTTTCACCGGACTCTTTCTTATTGTGTACCCTCATCTAGTACATATTTAAATTCGTCTAATTCTAGGTATCACTGAAGGCTAAACTAATGGTCGGGAAGAAGTCTGGAGACAGTATCAGGGGCGCAGTTTCCTTGCATTATCCGGGTCCATGAAGGTAGAGATGCCAATTCAGGTACTTCAGCGCTGTCGTATACGCTCCAAATGGATTCGGATAAAAGCATATGAGCGAGCATGCTCATCTTTCTTATTTCTGACGATGTGTGAACCGTTGTGAAGGAAACGAGTAAGTGTGAACGCTGATGTTCCCTTTTCACCAAGCAGTAATCAGCAAACGGTACATGAAGGATATTTGCTTATTGTTAATGTTGTGATGACTGTAGCCACCAGCGATAAACATTTGGCTTTCCACCTTCGTAATCCGATGACCGTTAGTCTAATTCGAGGTCAATCCTTACTGTACCCTTCTGTCTTGAGTAAGCCACTCTTTTCGTTGATGCAAAATAAAGCAGAGGACGTTACGAGGTGTTATAGACACAGTTTCATTGGAAGTTGCCGAAGTACATGTTTGAACCGGCGCTTTTAGCCGACAGCTGAGTTGAGTAACCTTTTAGGGTCTCTAGATCACGGAATTCGACAGCTTATCAAGGGGATACGCTTGCAGTAGAATATGAAGGCAATAGTAGTCGAAAGTTTCGAGAAGTTTTCTTTTTAGCCTGATTTTCTGATGCCTTCAACGGCTGTAACATTGAACCCTCGTGTCCATTGTTTTGTCCTTCGACTGGCCATTTGCCGCCGTAATGAAGCCGAGATTCTTGAAGGCGTTAACTTCTTCGATGGTGACCGAGTTGAAGCAGATTGTCTGTTTATCTCTCTTTGAAATGCCTAAAAAATATGTTTGTTTTTGAGGCATTGATATGTTGTCATATATTCGGTGCCTCCTCATCTAGGCGGAGAAAGATTGTTTACATCTTAATATACTTTGATGCTAAGAGTATGATACTGTCCACATGATGGAGGTTGGTGATGCCAAAGTCGTAGCTCACCTCCACACGACTGTTACTGAGAGAAGCCTGACACAAACTTGAACTAGTGATTTACAGAGGAATGAGTGAATAAGTGAATGAACACAGCATCTTATAAACGTTACCTCCTTGGCTCTGCAGCACATGCTCCTGTCGTGGAAGAGTGCGTGCCTTAGAAGACAGTGGCAGTACTGGAAAACCGATCACTGTTGGAACATCTCTTATTTTATGGTGGTGTCTGCGTGTCGTTCTGTCTATTTGGCGATGCTGTTTCAGCGTTTCGAAAAGACAGCCAGTTTTACTGTTATGAAAATTTCTTACACAGAGACTGGTGCATTTTACAGGTTGCGTTCCAACGAAACCTGAACAGGCAGTTATGCTTAGAATCATTTTGTCATTTAGTTTTGTATAACGTAGGTTAAGATTCTTACTTGTAGTAGCCATAAATCACACACCAGCTGACCACTGACAAAATCCTTTGCCAGTCATTTTCCACTCCGGCCAGTGGATCGCCCAAGAAAATGGCGTCTTCGACAGTTCCATCGCATCGGTTCCGTTTCGCCATTATCTGCAAGCACTGAGGCTGAAGCGAAGCAGAGGGGCCGGCCGGCTGCCAAGCTTCCAAGACAGGAGTTCCTCCACCAAACGTTATCCATCTCCGTTCGAACGATGAACGCAGACGCTCCATGTGTTGTTTGTGACCTTTACGGTGGCCAGCAGGGCCAGAGGCCAGTGCAGTGCGTATACAGCGCATAAGCACAACTTACGTTGCGTCACGCAAAAATTGTTAGGGAAAGGTATGCTACTTGTCGCAAACTTGTGGACATCATTTGTTCGACCCTCTACAGAGAAGGACCTTTATCTTTACTGTAGCAGCCGAAAGAAACAAACTGTATTGACGTTGCCTTCAAAAGAACGAGGTATTTGAAGAATAACCAGATATTCTAGCATTCAGTAAACGATTTCAACGTCGTTCTCAGTAAGATGACTAAATTCCATAGAATGCTGAGAATTATGATCGATGTGCGTGATGAAATTCGTTTTGTAAAATCAAGAATAGCGAATGCGTTATTGGTGAGAGAAGGGTTGTATTTAAGGTGGGCATATCACTGTTGATAATCGGTACATTGACGATTTCCCATGATGCACAGTCTCTTCAAACTGTTGAAGGAATGAACTGTAGGTCAGGAGCGTAATGCAGCGGGAATCTTTCAGCATGGCAAAAGGTTCAAGGGTGCTATCCAACTAATATTAAATGACAAATGTAAAACTATGATGTTATATTTTATGACGTGCTTTAAGCCATGGCCTGCAAAAACTATATTCCGCTAGTGTAAATTTGAGCGCGTAGTAATATATTTGCTGGTAGAACCTATGCTCCGTTGCCAAGAATTTTATTTTCTTTAAAAAATGTTCGATACTTCAAAGAAACTTGGAAATGAATGTAACCAAAAATGTCTGTGCTTTAAATCACTACCTCCAACAGCGCGTGCTGTATAGCATATCTTATCACAGCAGCCATCAAGTGGTTAATTGCTTTGCCAAGCTCAAACAAGTACTTCGACTCGAAGCGGATGCAGTACTGTTCTTCGCTGAGTGCCAAGTATCACCAAGCCCATCTGAATGCGTCCTCGCGTTCCTCCATAATTTAGCTGCTGACAGCGATGGCCACGTGAAGACTGTGTTCATCGGACGTCTCGAATTTTAACTCCTCTATTTCACCCACCCGTCTGACCATCTTTTATCCGGTAAGACCAGCCCTGCCTAGGCCGAACAGGGAATTCGTAACGTGCTACCCCGGCAGTGGAAGCAAGACCAGTCGCCACCGAAGGACCGGCTTTAAGTAAAAATGCCGTCGCTAACGGTGGAGCGATGAGGCCTCTGATCGAACCTAAAATCCATGTTTCAAGTTAAGTGGACTAAATGTGCTAACGTGAATGGTTCACGGTCTAGTGCCTATGATATAATGTTGAATGTTTATAACAGAACGGGATTTACAGTAAACTATTTAGCCATCTTCTAGAACCAGCAGATTCATCGCTTACAAAAATTACTTTAAACCAATTCTGCTGTAGTCTGCTAGGAATGGTTTATTACTCGAATAAATGGTTAATTTATTTTCATAACCGCTGCTAAATTTCACATGCCGTTTTCCGAACAACAACTTCAAGAAATTTCCCCAATAATTTCAGTCCTTAGCCAGTCAGCAAATTTCACAAATGGAATTTCCAATTAAAATAAAGCCACGTTACTTCAGTCACCTGAATATATACAGTTAACCATGCAGGTTTATAAGGACAATTAGTCTTATTAGTCATTCCTCTGGCATAGAGACCGGGATTTGCCAGTCGGTAGACCGTTAGATCAGAACCAAAACGTCCTGGTTTCAAGTCCCGTTATGTCACTCGCCACTCAACTTCCTTCCTTCCAAGGTTGATAAATGTATGTCACTTTATCAGAAGAAAACAGGAGACTAGGTATTATGCTTGCTATATGACTGCTGTATACTGCCTATAAAACAAAGCATTCCATGCTGATATGGAGATCAGCTCTCCTTCGTTTACTTCATGTAAAGAAGGGCGCCAGAAATGGTTCCATCCATCATAAGAGTATAAGAAAGACCAACTTGCCAACAACTATGCGGCGTCAACTGGAAATCATTTTTTTCATTGTTCCTGATGCAAAGCTGAGTTGACAGCGAATGCTATCCGAAGCAAAATACTTACAACGTCAAATCGATTTCAAGGTCAAACAGAAGCTGTCACAAGAAATCCTAACCAGACCTCCGTGGCCTGTTTATGACTAATCTGATGTAAATTTATGCTGTGGATCAGTCAACAAGATGATAAACGTACTAATGCCCAAAATAACAGCAGTTCAAACTTGCGCATTTCCGAGTGTGCGCCATTTGTAAACCGGAAAAGCATGAAGCTAACTTTGAATGCAGTAACAACTCAAATTGCTTGCAACGAACAATCATGGCATGGGATTTGGGGGCTGTGTCCCGATGCTAAAATCCAGTTTGATATATAGCGATGAAATTACTAACACGGCGTAAAATGTCATAAGTCTGAAGTCATCTTCAGCAAATAGTTTGCCTTGCATGCGGCATATGAATTGATATGAAGATAGAAGGGGTCAGCTGCTGCTGTCTGTTAACCAGAAAAAAACAGCGGAGTTGAAGAACAATTATAAAAAATCATTTCACTGTAGACTGCTCCTGATGCCAAAGAGCACGCGATGATTGTGAAACATTTTATCCCTTCATGTATGTAAGTCGCTAAAGATTGAAGCACGAGATACGGTATAGATTATTCTGCACTGACTCAATAACCCGGAATACAGTAACCTACACTTTTCATAACAGTAGCCACCTATTCTGATCAAGACAAGTCGAAGAACACACGCTTCGACGACAAGCAGAAATAATCAGACATACTACATGCTAATGTTTGGCCTCTGAACCTGTAACCAGGACATCTGGTAGTGAAACAACTATATCCTATTCATGTACTCGTAACGTTTGATTTTGGTACTTATTTAGTTTAATAAATCAGCAGCGCAGCAGCCATAAAAAATGAAAGCAACTTGCAGACGGCACTACCACAAGTATGACAGCTTTCAGGTAAGCAGGAGCGTCGACTTTCACTTTTTCACGATTTTCTGGAAAAGCTTCTCAGACGATTTGTTTATCATTTTTAACAGCTCCTCGACATCTCAAACTGAACTTTAAACAAAACTGGAATCTGAAGTGAAACTGTAACGTCCATAAGGGAATCCATGTGAACACACGGTAATATAAGTCAATTGGGACCACTAACCAACGTTAACGTTTATACTCCGCCAAACAGCTGTACTTTCGATCGAAAATAATATTTCTAAACAAAAACAATAATTATTTACTTTACATAAGAATATAAAGTACATTTGGCCAAATTCCGTTGGGTAACAGATAACAAATAAAGCTTTCATGAAAGTATTGAATCGAAACGGCCTGTGGCATTTCACAGTTGATTACATCGATCGAAAGTAGTCATTCACGATATTGTAGTCGATCGACATTAACTGATTCTTGTTCCTTTCTTTCAGCAGATGGCTCAGACTGTGATAACCTAAAATGTTTAAACTTAAGCGAAAAAAAACTTTTGTAGA